CTATTTAAGTTAATAAGAAATGCAGGTTAGCAATTAGTTACCTATTACAATCAAACTTGTAGTCATATTAGGTGTGTTCTCAAGGTGAACAGATATAGTTTAGATAGATAGGTCATCTTCAAACATTTCAGAGATCTACAGAATATGGCATTTAAGATGTTTTAATAACATAGGTTATTTTTTATGACAATGAGATATATCTGCTCCTGTTGGCACAAATCTACTTCAGAGAAGATGATAGGCATTGAAGAAACTCCACATGGAGTTTACTTTCTTCGTGGCAAAAGTTATTTACTGGTTAAGAAAGCACCCTTGCCTCAACAGTTGATAGTTTGTTGTCCAAATTCGACAAGTAGGACACAAAAGAAAGGACTGCTGAACTTTACCAAGACAAGGTAGAACAGCCCTTCAGAATATCCTGCTTCACAGAAAAGTCTGTCAGATATGCTAGGCCAGCTGGTCAAAGATAAACGCCCCAATGTTACAGAGGCACCTTGGGTGACTGTCCAGGCAGCCAGCTGTTTGTCATTTCTCACATATTTTGCAAGTTGCTTACTTGTACTTCCTGCTTACTTGGGTAATGTAAAGAGGAGCTTTTTCCTTTGAGTGAAGCCTTCCCGCCAGCCTGGTTCTAGAGCCGCATCAGTCCCAAATAAACACACAGGAGGCTATATTAATTATGAAGCTGTTGGCCTTGCTTGTTTCTTACTGGCTAGCTCTGACTTAAGTAATTACCCCATAATTGTTAATCTAAGTATTTCTCCTACCAGAGAATAGTCCAGGCTTCCTACCCCATGGCGTTACATCTCGATTCTCTTGTGTTTCTCCTTCCCAGAGTCCTCCTGGACTCCTAGTCCCACGTATCTAGATTCCTATTGGCCAGCAGTGCTTTATTGACAAAGGACTTCCCCAACAGGGTAATATTTCCTTCTCGTGTCTTAGATGGAGTTGAAGACTTTATAGTTATAGCTGTCCTTGTTAACAAATTCACAAAGGAAATTCATTAAAGAAATGTAAGTGTGTATGTTTGAGAGACATAAAAAGATAGCTTTGGGTTGGTTATTCCAGTTATGATAGACAGAGACTTTTGGACTCACTGGGATATCATAGACAGGAGTATTTTCTATGAATTTGTCAATTACTAGTGGACTAGACATTGTTGATGTATTTATTGCCTGTATATAATGTATATAGTTATTGTACTTATTGTATATAGTTTTTCTTGTAGTAGTTATAACCTTTTTTAATTTTTATTTTAGACAATAAAGGAGGAATGCGCTTTTGTTTGTGCTCTAACAAATAAAGGTTGCCTGGAGATCAGAGTGCAGAGTTAACCACAGAGGACAGGCAGTACAGGGTCCTTCCTGCAGGTAGAGCAGGGGAAGGGTCAGTCCATCTGATCTCTTCCCGGGGCTGAGCGGGATGGTGAGTGTCGACGACTCAGACCCTCCCCTACTAGTTACAGGGGCGGGGGGGGGCACTGAGTCCAGAGTCTGTTGAAGCAGGATCTCGATTTATTCCAACAGGCAGGAACTTATATAGGGCTGAGGTAGGAGATGGGAAACATAGGATAGGGTAAGGTGACGTGAGGAGTAAGGGCCAATAGCATTCTACCAAGCAGGCAGGTAGCTAGGCAGGGGGCAATCTTACATCCGGTCTGGCTGAGTCACCCCCACGTGGAGGTTACAGGTTAGAGACAGGTCGCCAAACTCTAGCCAGGCTCAGGAGCTTACACTGGGCCTCGCATTGGAGCCTTTCTTAGGCCCAACAAGGCAGTGGTGGCTCACACCTTCAATCCCAGCACTCAGGAGGAGGAAAGAGGAAGTGATGTGGCTGAGTGAAGAGAGAAAGTGGTAAGACAGGACGGAGTCCTGAACTTGTCCCACTTTTTGGCTGAGAAGTTGGCAAGGTCAGAGGTGGCTGTGGCTGACTCCTTTGTCTCTCCCATCTTTCAGCATTTACCCTGATATCTGACTCTAGGTTTGTATTATGAAGACCAAGTAGAACTTGTGCTACAAACTAGGTTCATCTAGGAAGAAGCAACCACAATTGAGAAAATGAAACTATCAAATTGGTCTGTAGACAAGCCTATGGGATATTTTCTTAATTGATGATTGATAGGCATGAAGCAGCTCACTTTGGCCATGCCACCCCTGAGCAGGTGGTTCTGAGCTGTGTAAGAAAGCGAGCCAAGCAAGACATGGTAGCAAGCCAGTAAGCAACATTCCTCTGCTTTAGCTCCTGCCTTGGCTTTCCCTAATGATGGCTGACACAAGTAAGTTAAGTATATCCTTCCTTCCTCAAATTGTCTTTGGTCATGGTGTTTATCATAGCAATAGAAAGCAAATTCAGACAGGAGCTCTCAAGTGCTAGGCATACGTATATAGGTCAGAAGACCATGCTCTGGAGTGCACACTTTCCTTCTATCTTTATATGGGTCCGGGTCAAACATAGATCTTCAGGCTTGTATGGCAAGCTCCTTTTTCCCCCTGAGCTATTATTTTTCTTATATTTATGTCCATGATCTATTTTACCTTAGTTTTTCAGTGTGGTCTACAGTAAAACTTGAGCCTTACATTACTGCTGAGGAATGTACCTCACAGACTCATTTATATATTTGAATGTTTGGTCATCAGGAGGTAGAGTCACTTGAGAGGGATTGGGGGTGTGGCCTTTTGGAGTAGGTGTGGTCTTGTTGGAGGAAGTGTGTTACTGGGGGTGGTCTTTAAGTTTCAAAGGGCCAAACCAGGTCCAGTGTCTCGCTCTCTTCCTGCTGCCTGCAGATCCAGACATAGAATTCTCAGCTACCATGTCTGACTGTATGCCACCATGATTCTAGTCATGACTAGAATGGACTAAACCTCTGAAACTGTAAACCAGCCCCAATTAAATAGTTTTCTTTATAAGAGTCGCTGTGCTTATTGTATCTTTCCACAACAATACAACAGTGACTAGGATAATTGCATATGAATTTCTGTGATTGTTCAACCCCATTTGTTGCAAAGACTAACCTTACCTTGGTATCATCATCAATCATCAATGGGCCACATATGTATAAGTGCATTTCTGAACCTTGTTCCTCCCCACCAATCTGTGTCTAGGTTGCTGTAACTTCATACTAAGTCTCAAAGCAAGACTTCCAAGCAGCAACCTTTGGACTTTGAGGTGAGTCCAATGCTGATTTTTTCTTTCAAGGGGAAGGGGTGGTTAGGTCTTCAAAAGGTCCTCGGCCTGTTGCTGGTGCATAGCACTTTGATGGCGAACAGCTTCTCTCTACCCCAACCTCTATTCCTCCTAGTACCAACTAGCTTCTGCCATCAGTGGTACCCTTTATAACCTCTTGCTCTTGAGCCCCTGGCCTATCAGGTGGATCTTGGACTTGGAAAGCATAAACAGTAATAGGATGTGGACCTAGTTTCTTAAGTCTCGAGTCAATTATAGGATGTCTGCCCACCCAGTGTCTCAAGTTTCCTAGATTGCTTACAAGCCATGATTAGTGGATGCTACTATGTTGGGGTTCTTTTTACAGAATGGGATACTAAAGATCTCTGGGTCCTCACCCTTGTGCCCTGATTCATCATTACCAGGGTATCAGAAAAAGGCCCATTAAACACTCCAGTTATGTAAAATTATTTTCTTGTTTGTTTTATAAGACAAGGTCATGCTTTAGTATGTAGTCCAGGCTACCCTCAAATCTGTGTCTTTCTGCTTCAGCTTCTGAGTCCTGGGATCATAGGTGTGAGTCACCACACCCAGTTTGTGACGTCCACTGTTCCAATGAACACTAATAATCATATCAAAAGCACTCCCAGTGCTCTCTGGTGCTGCACTAGTCCCCTTTACAACCCTACACTCATTCCAGCCTTTGAAGCAGCACGCTGAAGCGGGACCACTAGGCTTTCCAGCCCAGGAAACCACCAAGGAAAAAGTAACTACCTATGCTCTTGGGATAAGAAATTAGGGGCCTTAAATTTGACTCTCTGCAAACGCAGGCTGGAGTTGAAACTGCTGGACACACTCAGGCATCTTCCAGCAGGAGATGCAGAGGAAATCTACCACAACAGCTGTGGTTTGCTGCATATTTGAAACTACTCAAGAGCAAGCAAAACAATCAACAGCAAAAAGGCACAGATGTCATTGGGCAGTGGCTGCACACACCTTTAATCCCAGCATTGGGGAGGCAGAGACTGGCGAATCTCTGTGAGTTTGAGGCCAGCCTGGTCTACAGAGTGAGTTCTGGGACATCCAGGGCTACACAGTGAACCCCTTGAAAAAGCAAAGGGAAATGGTACAAATGTCAGCCCATCCTCTCTGTTCCACAGCTTGACAATGAGCATACTTACACACACACACACACACACACACACACACACACACACACACACACACACACACACGCATCATACCCTCAGCACTCAGTGGACACCCTCATGTAGCTGGCCCACTACCCTTGCCTACCTAGAACTACCTCCCCTGACCTAGAGTTGCACAGACAGTGGAGGGGGACTCAACCCACGAATCTCCCACTTCAGATCCTGCATGGCACCCTCCTACCCAATAGGACAAGCTCTCCTGAGGCAACATGGCTAAGCTGTAACCTAAGACTGGCAAGAGAGCCAGGGAGTCAGGCCATGAGCTAGCATGGACGCGTGTGGTAAGCCAGTGCCTGCACTACACGCTCTGTTGCTACTCAGGCAGCCAGGCACACAGCTGCCATCAATAAAGCAGCCCTGCTTGCCTCAGCTGTGGAAAGAGAATAGTTGCAGTCCACCAAGCATGGAGGGGACCAAGTGCTCTGGACGAGATGGCCTGAGGTCCACTTGGGAAACCACTCCCTGTCTTTAAGTCCCACTTTCCTCTGCCAAGTGCCAAGTGCCATGGATAAATAAGATTTCCATTTATCTGGCAAGTCTAGATCCAGAGTGGCTTGGAGCCAGGCACGGCATATCCCTGGAGCTCCTTACTCCCCATTGTTAAGATGAGGAGGGCGCACAGCGAATGTGTTGAACTCTACAGATTATTAAATTGAAGGAAACGGATGGCCACTTGAGTGACCCGCTGCACACGCTGGCTTTGGGGTGTTACAGTGGATCGCCAGGAGGGCGGGGAAAACGTGTAATGGATAACAGCTCCTTAAAGAACCTGGGAACAGCATGGAGGTAAGAAGTAGACATGTATGGGAGGAGGGGCAGAGGCCCATGTTTCCTCGAGAAGAGATTTCTCAAATTTATAGGTGGTGGTGGTGGTGGTGTGTGTGTGTGTGTGTGTGTGTGTGTGTGTTGATATGTGTGTGATGCATGTGCTGTGTGTGTGTGGTGTATGTCATATGTATATCATATGTGCAATGCTTGTAATGTATGTGCTATGTGTGTGGTGTGTATAATGAGTGGGTGATATGTGTTTAATATTGTGATATGTATGTAATATGTGTGTGATGTATAAGCAATGTGTGTATGTGTGAGATGCGGGTATAATATTATGATGCGTATATAATATGTGTGTATGTGTGATAGGTATATAGTGTGTGTATGTGTGAGATGTGTGTGTAATATTGTGATGTGTATGTAATGTGTGTTTGTGTGTGTGATGTATATGTAGTGTGTATAATAGTGTGAAGTGTATGTACTATGTGTTTGTGTGCATGTAGTGTGTGTGTGTGTGTGTGTGTGTGTGTGCTATGTATGAGTAGATGTGGGCATCAGCATTCCAAAGCGCATGTGAAGGTCAGAAGATTTTTGGAGTCTGTTTTTTTCCTCTCCAGTGGGTTCTGAGGCTTGAACTTGGGTTGCAGGCTTGCCAGACAACCAAACTGTCTCACTGGCACTGAACTTGATCTTGAAGAATGCGTTGGGAGTGGAGTGCTCCTAGCACAGGGAGTATCTGAAAAGTCCACACAGGGCGTGTGTGTCCCTGAACAGCTTGGGAACAGCTCCGGGAACAGTTTGGGGGCTGGAGAAAGCCAGAGGTAGGAAGGCTGGGGAAGTGCCTTCCCCTGTAGACATGGAGATCATGTGAGCAGAGGGTATACACACACAACTTAGTGAGATGTGTGTTTCAATGCAGTCACTAGGTCAGGAACCAGACCGGAACTGGAGTCACGCGCAGTGCACGTTGGAGGAAGGAGGTCTAAGTCAGACTGCCACAAATAATAAGGGCCCGAACAGACCTGGAGTGAGGAGGACAGAGAAGGAAGCAGAGTTACAGAGAAATTTCAGAGATCATCGTTACCAGGCTCCAGGTTAAAGTGGATTCCTGGATGGAACACCTGCTGTGCTTTCAAGACAGCCGAGTTCCCATCCAGAGTGAATCTGGGGCCAGGCACACATGCCAAAGATACAAAAACAATAGACCTAGAGTCTGCTCACAAGGCATTTGTATTCGACTGGGACAGGCAGGCACAAGATAATTTTTTCTTTAGTGTATATACTGTCTTCTATTCTACCTATTATGTCTAATACCAGATATCTTCTAACTTTGCTTAAGACAGAGTAGAGAGGCCGGGCGGTGGTGGCGCACGCCTTTAATCCCAGCACTCGGGAGGCAGAGGCAGGCGGATCTCTGTGAGTTCAAGGCCAGGCTGGACGGATAGCCTCCAAAACAATACAGAGAAACCCTGTCTCGTAAAAACCAAAAAAAAAAAAAAAAAAAAAAAAAAAGACAGAGTAGAGGTGAGGGTAGGGAGTGCTTCCTGAAGGAGGAGCCCTGGGCTTCAGGGAAATAGGAGCACAGAAGGCTAGGAACTGGTGGCCAAAGAGGTTGTGGATGACTCCAAGGGCAAGAAACATCTGTCTCTTTGTATGTCTCTGTCCCCCACTCCAGGCTCCCACTACATAGCTCTGAGGTTGGTCTGGAACTGGCTGTATAGTCTATACCAGACTAGTAGTGAAATTAGAGATCTTCCCGCCTCTGCCTCTTGAATGCTGGGATTGAAGACATGCACCCCCACATGAGTTATTTTATTCTTTGTGTATGGAAGCATTGTCTGCATATATGTCCATCCACCTTGTTCACACAATGTCCATGAAAGCCAGAAAAGGGCATCAGATTTCCTGGAACAGGAGTCATGGACAGTTGTGAACTGCCTTGTGGATGCTGGGAATTAATCCTGGGTCCTGCTGAGCCACATCTTCAGCACTCACAAGTTAATCTTTTGTTGTTGTTGTTTGAGACAGGGTTTCTCTGTGTAGCTCTGGCTGTTCTGGAACTTGTTTTATAGACCAGGCTGACCTCGAACTCACAGAGATCCACCTGTCTCTGCCTCCTGACTGCTGGGATTAAAGGTGTGCGCCACCACCACCCAGATGCAGTTCCTTAATTAGCCCACATAACTTCCCATGAGTTCAATGTGATCCTTACAGTTTCACTAACAGTCAGAATGAATTCGAGACAGTAGTCTAAGGCAGACTGAAGTTTGTAGAGTTGCAGCAAGGTGATGTGGGGTGGATTGAGGGGGCAGTGAAAGAGTCTGTTGGGAAAAGCTGCTCACCTCATGGCAGCCAGGAAACAGAGGAATTCATTGGTGGTTTGAATGAGAATGGCCCCTTAGGTTCATGTTTGAATGTTTGAGCTTCAGTTGATAGAAGAACTATTTGGGAAGGATTAGGAGGTGTGGCCTTGTTAGAGGACATAAGTCACTTGGAGGGGTGGCTCTGAGGTTTCAAAGACTGGTGCCATTCCCAGGCTCTGCCTTATGGCTGTATCTCAAGATGAGCAGCATCAGCTACTGGTACAGTGCCCTGCCTGCTGTCATGAATCCCTGTAACCATGAGTCACAAATTAAACTATTTCTTTTATAAGTTGCTTTGGTCATTGTGTTTTGTCACTGCAATGGAAAAGTCACTAAGATAGACAGGAAACGGTCAAAAACAAAGAACCATTAAAGGTAAGTCCCCAGTGGCCTTCCTCCAATCATCCCCTGTCTCCCACACAAGAGGCCATGAAATATGAATTCAAAGTCAGAACTCTCATGGTCCATTCACCTCTCAATGACCAGGTCTGCCAACTGGGCATCGTGCCTTCAGCATGAGTCTCTGTGGACCCTTCCTATCTAACCACTAAGGTAGAGTAGCTGGTCAAAGATCATTCAGTTAGAGAGAGGCATACCCAGGTTTTGAACTAGGTCCATAAGGTCTAGAAGCTTAATCCTTGTCTGCCAAACATATTCTTCCCCTATTTTATTAGTCTGAGGTCTCACTAGATCAGCTTTTTTTTGTTTTTTTGTTTTTTGTTTTGTTTTTTTTTGTTTTTCGAGACAGGGTTTCTCTGTGGCTTTGGAGGCTGTCCTGGAACTCGCTTGGTACTCGAGGCTGGTCTCGAACTCACAGAGATCCGCCTGCCTCTGCCTCCCGAGTGCTGGGATTAAAGGCGTGCGCCACCAACGCCCGGCCCACTAGATCAGCTTTAATTCAACAGCCTAAACTATCAGCTTTTAAGTTTTGATGTTAGAGTGAAATAATTCACACAAGAAAGAAGCAGATCACTACAATAATTAAGTCAATGAAGAGCACAAGAGCCAGCCAGGCATGGTGGTGCATGTCTTTTTCTTCTTTTTTTTAAATTAATTTATTTTTTACATTCCAATCCCAGTTCCCCCTACCTTCTCTCCTCCCATTTCCCCCATTCCCTCATCTTCCCATATGCTCCATGTAGAGGGTAAGGCCTCCCCTAGAAAGTCTACTAAGTCTGTCCCATCATCTAGTTGAGGTAGAACCAAGGCACCTCTCCACCCTCACACCCCTGTGTCTAAGCTGGGCAAGGTATCTCTCCATGTTGAATGGGCTCCTCTAAGTCAGTTTAGTGGTGACACACACCTTTAATCCAAGCACTCAGGAAGCAGAGGCAGGTGGATATCCATGAGTTCGAGGCCAGCCTGGTCTAGAGAGCAAGTTCCAGGACAGCCAGGGCTACAAAAGGAAATCCTGTCTCAAGAAGGAGGAGAAGGAGGCAGAAGAGGAGGACGAGGAGGAGGACGAGGAGGAGGAGAAGGAGAAGAAGGAAAGAAAGAAGAAAAGAGGAAAAAAAGAGTATGAGTCATTTAATTTTTTTCCAGCAATCAATGCCTTGGAAAAATCTCTTAGTGTCAAAGATCAAGGGTACAGCATTTTTAAAGACAAAATCCAAACTTACATTGATTTAATGTAAAGGTCAAACTAACCTCAGGGTATTTGTTTCTGGACAAACATAGGAATTTCAGATATGACAGTTGACTTTATGTTTAGCTCACACCAACATTAATTATTTTGATTAACACGTCTAGAACATGGTCAGGGTCATGGAACTCAGAAGTGTGTGTTGGCTGTTGTGGGGGGTTGTGGGCTGAGAAGCAACTAAGCAGACACAACACGGAGTCTGGACAAGACGGCATTATTTTGACCACTTCAAGAATAGAACCAGAAGACGGTTAAGGGAAAAGTTTTGCTCAAGATACTATCTGGCAGAGTTGAAGGACCACTCCTAGGAAGGTGAGCTCACCTCCTGCCATGCTAAGGAGACGGTCAATGAAATACTGTAATTTTCCCTCGAAGAATCCTCACCCCTAGAACAGTGGATTCCCAGGCTGCAGTCGTACCGCTTCATAAGTCACCTGGCTTTTCTAGATTACCCAGTAAACTGTATCTTCTCCTTCCGTCTGTGTTCTAAGCACGCTTTCCCTGACATTGTGAGCTTCTTCCTTTTCTCCAAAGCAACCCGCCAACACTCATGTGCAGCTGCCTGCTGCTGTGTGGCAGACACACACCTTCTCTCCTCTGTGCTCCTCCGGGAGCTGCTGAAATCACAGCGTGTGTGACTTGGAGCCTTCTTTAACTCTAGTAAAATTGGCCTTGAGTCTTCATTAGCCTCAAGAGGGACCCCCACATTTCCCCAGTATCTCTGGCACTGAGAAGAAACTCCTCCAGATGGCAGTACCATGCCTTTACACATCTTCTCTTTCACTCCACTCTTCCTTTCTCTCCCAATTAGCTCAAGTAGGGGTCTGTGAGGGGACTTGAAGGAACACACAAACTGCTGCTTTGAGCTGAGGGAGTGGCTAGCATGGCCTCTGTCCTCAGGAGGACAGCACACCTGGCTAGTGGAGCATGGGTAGCAGAGGGTGACGGCCAGAGCCCAGTGTACACGGATGGTGATTTCTCTACACGTGATCTTAGCCAAAGACCAACAAGTGTGGTTTTTCTAAGTTAATATTTCTTTTTGTAAACAATGAGATTCAGTAGCCTGGGGGCCTTCAGATTTCTCAGCCTTGGTTCCCCTACTTACCCCGGCCTCCTATCCTGACAACTGTCACTTGATTCTCTGGCCTTTAGGACTCTCATGTTCCACATGGTCTAGCTACAACCCAAGTGACCAATGTGGGGCAGTCTGTGGTACTCCTTGCCGGAGGGAGACAAGTAAGTGCAAGGAGCTCGGGGGTAGCTAGTTTAGTGTTGATGGAGGAGCCTGTGGGCCACAGGGACAGGCTTCGGTCTTCTCTGTAGTGCATTTTGTAGGATTCCTTATGGGTTCATCTGGCTTTTGCTGGGGTTTATTTTTATTGAGATAAAGTCTTGCTGTGTAGCCCAGGCTGGCCTCACACTTGCCGCACTCCTCCTCCTCTGCTGGGCTTTCAGCGTGCACTGCTTGATCGGCTCAGCTGGCTGAGTGGGACCTTTAGTGATGGTTGTATGACTGCACTGGCAATGGACAAAACATTGGCTGAAACAGATGCCCGGCTTCATTGTTCTGTTTGTTTCTTTGAGGTGCTGGCATTCAAAAGCCTGGGTGTTGCACTTCTAGTCAAGTACTCTGTAGGCCTCTGTCCTCTGCCCATGGGGTTTAGATAGATGACTCTGCTTTTTGGAAAACCTTTCAGACGCTTAAAACTTGGATGCATTTTCTTAGTGTGTCTGTGTATGCACACCACAGCGTTCATGTGGAGGTCAGAGGACAACTTACGGGAACCGGTTCTCTCCTACCATCCCTGGCTTCCAGGGATGACTCAGGGCCCCAGACCTAGTGGAAAGCACCCTTACCCACTTTGCCACCTCACCAGGCCTCAGATGCTTTTATATCGACTGTTAAGAAGTCCTGACTAAAGCGGTAGTGCAGTTACTACAATGCTTACCGAGCAGGGCAAGGCCATGGATTCAACCCCAGTACTATATAAACCAGGGATAGGGGCACGCATCAGTAACCTCGGTACTTGGAAAGTGAAGGCAGAGGAACAGAAATTCCAAGTCATTCTCAGCCACATATTCACTAAGCTCAGCCTTGGCTGCATGGGGCTTGGTCTCAAAAAATAAAAACCTTCCCCCTTAAATCTCTTTTCCCTGAAATGACAATGAACTTTGGCCTGTGGTGGCTTTGCCTGAGGTAACGTTAATATACCAGAAGCCCTCCAGAACAGTGGCTGCCAAAAATAACAGCTGTGAAATGATTTTGTGACATCAATGAGGACAAACACTTTTGTCCCTTTTCACTATGATCGGTGAGTGTAGAAGTTGTTGGCGTAAGAGCTTCCCTCTTTGCTGTCCCTCTTAGCGTGAGGTGGACAATGACATCCTTTGCCTTCTCTCACGTCTTCGTTACGGATTTGGGCCACACCAGCCTTTACTGTTAACTCTCAGGGGCTTTCCTGTTTTTCTCATTCTCCAGTGATGGCGTAGGCACTTTGTGCGGCAGAGGAAAAATATCCAAGAAGGAAGCTCCCAAGGAGGTTACCAGGTGCACAGTTCAGCCAAGTAGGTGACTCGGTGGGACGCATCTCTTTGTGTTTGCTTGGCTGGGGAGGGTGGACTGGGCTCAAGGCCAAATCACTTTAGCACCTGAACCTGAGGCGGTTCCACTGTGACTTGTCTCCAGGATGGCCAGGACAGACAGAAGAAGTGTGTGGAAGGGAAGGTTGTATGGTGATTTCCAGTTGTGTGCATTTCGGGGACCTGTTGGACTCCAATACACTGAGTTTCTCCTAAAACAGCATTTATCTCCTTAGACACTGAGGACCTGGGGGTGAAGGAAGGAAAGGATGATGGCCTATGTATTCATCGCTCTGCAGATTGCTGGGACAAAATATCCAGAGAGCAACTTCTACAGGAAAGATTGGTCCATCATGGTAGCAGAAGCCATGGAGCAGCAGCTGGAGGTGGCGGGTCATGTGGACCCTCAGTCGGGAGCAAGATGGATGCTACTTCTCAGCTGTCTCTCTCCTCTCTATAAGTTCAGGGCCCCACCCTGTGGACCGGTGCTGCCCACAGGAAAGGAGTGTCTTCCTACCCCCTTCATCACATGCCAGAAGCTGATTCAACTCATGTACCTGATTGTTCTAGATCTTGTCAAGGTGACAATCACATTAACCATGCAGGTGGTCAAGTATATGAAATAGAATATTGACAGTTGCTGAGGCTGAACCATGCATACGTGAGACTTCATCACTCTTTCTGCTTTTCTGGACATTAGAATATTTCCAAAATAAAGTCCTTTTTAAAAACACATACACTATTTGCCTTATTCCACTTGTGCTGCTGTAATAAAATCTCGAGTATCAGCAATTGGGTTAGGTGTCAGAAACACCAGAGCTGAAGCCAAGCCTGGTGTCATGCACCTGTCTCCTCAGTATCTAGAAGGCAAAAGCAGGAGGGGCAGGAGCTGGAAGCCAGCTTTGACCACACACGGAATTTGAGAACTCATTGAGCTACATTCAACCCTGTCTTAAAAAAAAAGAACAACAGTTTAAATTAAAATTATACAGCCAGGCATGGTGGCCCACACCTTTGAACCCAGAGGCAGGTGGATCTGTGTGAGTTTGAGGCCAGCCTGGTCTACAGCGGGACTTCCAGGACAGCCAGACTACTCTCAGAAACCCTGGGGTGGGGGGTGACATGAGGTGGGGCTGGAGACAAGGCTCAGTCGTTAAGAACGGCCCCAGTTCTGATCCTAGCACCACATGGCAGATCACAGCTGTCTGTGACTCCAGTGCCCTAGGACCTGGTGCCTTTTCCTGGCCTCCTCAGCACCAGGCACACATGTGGTGCACTTATAAATATACAGGCAAAACCACACATAAAGAAAAAACCCACGAATCTCTTTAGAATGCCTCAGAAAGAGAAAGGGTCTCTCTTTCTGGCCCACAGTCCAAGAGGTTCGCTCCACAGTCGTCTGTTGGCTTGTGGCTTTGAAGCCTGTGATGACGTATGTCCCGGCAAGCCACAGCAAAGCCGACCACCTTGTGTGACCGGGAGGTGAAGGAGGTCGAGGAAGGGGCTGGAGTCTGTGTTCCCTCTCAAGATCATATCCCCAAGGACTCAGACACCGGGGCTCTGTCTCCTAAAGCCTCAGCCTCCTCCCAATATCACTGCCATTGAAAGCAAGCCTTTAGCACATGGTCCCTGGGGACACTTAACATCCAAATGATAGCAGTAATTCATACACAGCAGACAAGAACTTCCTACACTTCCAGAGGCCAAGGATTTCAGTTCCAGGCACCAACATTTGGTGTCTGGTGTGGACGTTTCGCCTGCTGCTGCACCTGTAATATGGGGAGTAGGTCCTTGATTGACAGAGATGGAGTGGTTCTGGAGAGGCGGAGGGTCCCAGTAGATGAGTTACCCAAGCATGTTAACCAGCGCTGGAAGCCCGGAAGAGCCCTGGAGAGTGGCTGGTGTTGAGTCCACGCTGAAAGACTTAAGAATCTGAATCAGGTAATGGCAGCAGTGACAGGTGCACTTACTCAGGAAAAGGGTAGTGACATACGCTGCCTTTCACCAACTTCCCCTAATATCCAGGGTGTCAGACTGCTGGGAGATGTGCCACTCACATCTAGGGTGTGTCTCTTCCCCTAGTCACTATCACACATACCAGTCTTCCTGGAAAAGCCCCAACAGATACACAGCTGACTCTCATCTGTCTGAGCCAGCTCGTAGTCAAGTTTACAGTCAAAGCCGATCATCACAGAACCTGAAGACAGTAGGTAGAGGAAGCCCATGGGGGAGGGGTGTCACGGGGGAGGGGTGGAACACAGGGGCAAGCTGAGATCTGAAGAATGTCTAGGAACCAACAGGGCACTGTGGGATGAGGGGAGATGGAGTCCCTCATTTGCCTTCACAGTGTGTTAATTCCACCAGTTGAGAATAAGACCACTAGGACAATTTAAAACCAAACTTAGGCAAGTTTTAATTAGATACTGGCCCAGGAAGTGGCTGAGTCATGGTTTGCAGGAGCTTAGCACTCATGCTTACATTTGGCACCCAACCTTAAGGCATGAATTCACAAGAAAGCCACTTGCCTGTAGCTTTGCAGCCACCAGCACAGGCCAGAGCTGCACAAGGGGCTCCCGCTGGAGTCACCACCTTGCCAGCTAGGTTCTTGTTTTTTCCCTAAGCCTCAAAGCGAGGTTGGAATTTTTGTTGTTGTTTTGCCGTCATTGTTGACAGATTTGGTTAGACAATTGGGATTTCTTTTTTAAAAGATTTTTTTATTATGTATACAGTGTTCTGTCTGCATGTCTGCCTGCAGGCAAGAAAAGGACACCAGATCTCATTATGGATGGCTGTGAGCCACCATATGGTTTCTGGGAATTGAACTCGGGACCTCAGGAAGAGCAACCAGTGCCCTTAACCACTGAGCCATCTCTCTGGCTCCAATAATTGGGAATTCTTAAAGAGAGAAATTAGTTTAAAGAGAGAGTTTTTCCCACATTAAAAACATCATTGCAACGGAGAGAATTAGCTCTTTTTATGATAATACACTACATGGTTTGAAAATGGAACATTAAATGAAAGGATAGGTAATTTAGATGCGATTTGTGTAAGGTCTATTATAAACATTATCAATTTTATCATTTTTGTTTTATCACTAAAAAGCTGGTTAATCTGAATGCTAAGATACAAGTTTTAGAAAAACTTTTTAAAAAAGATCATAGAGACAGGTAGACCCAAACAGAGGAATTTAATGGAGAACCAATTTCAGCTTTGCATTGTAAGCTTAGAGAGGAACAACCTAAGGTTTTCTTTTTTCTTTTTTTTTTTTTTTTTTTTTTTTTTTGGTTTTTCAAGACAGGGTTTCTCTGTGTAGCTTTGGAGCCTATCCTGGCACTCACTCTGTAGACCAGGCTGGCCTCGAACTCACAGAGATCCACCTGCCTGTTTCCCACGTGCTGGGATTAAAGGCATGTACCACCAACACCCAATCCAACCTAAGGTTTTCAAACAACCAACTTTAATATTTCCAGTCACCTTACAGTAACAACATCCAAGTGATAGATATCCACAAGGAAGTGTAAGAGCTAAACAGACTACTGTGGAAATGTTGGATTTAAGGAGATTTAAGGAACCAATTGTCTCATATGGCATGCATTCCCTTTTGTGAAGCAGATGTTAAATGCGTGGTCAGCTTGTAAGAGAACTATCCCTCAAGACTGGAGAGACTTGGTTACAGCAGTTTTGTGACCTGGTCCTCAATTACAGTGGAGAAACTTGTAGAAAGATGAGGCTAAGACCACTGAACAACAAAGCAGGGCTAGAGGTATAAAAATCTCCTAAGATTGATTTCTTAGAGAGGGAGATAATGATATTGTACAATCTGTATGTGATGACTATGCCCTGTATTTATGACACTCAGCAGCTTTGAATGCTTGAAACAGAATTGGAGAAGTAGAAAAGAAAATTTAGTCATTTACTGAAATTATACAGGGCCCAAAGGAAACTTGCATAGATTTCTTGCAAAGGTTGACTTCAGTGGGAAATAAAATGATACCAAATTCAGAAGCTAGACAAATAATAATTGAATCTCCAGCTTTTGAAAATGCTAATGCACAATGTAAAATGGTGAAAGGTAATCTCAGCATCCTTAGGGGAATGAGTCTGAGATACAGTCAATATTGAATCTCATGACCATGATGATGCTTGTATAGAAGTGATTTCCAAAGAATTGAAAAAAATTTAAATGTCAAGAGTTTCAATTGTGGCAAACAAGGCCACCTAAAAAGGGACTGGAAACAGATGTTCCTAGAAACAATATTTTATCTAAGCATAATCCATACAGAACACCTCTCCTTTCTGGATTATGCAGTTGTGGCAAGGGCAGGCATTGGACTAATGAATGTAGATAGCCCTTTGCTGTTGGGAAACATCTTGAGGGGCATCTCCCAGATCCCCATGCCAAATTCAGTTCAATTGTTTCCTGTAACCATAGAGGAAACTCCTTCCCAAAGCAATTAAGGAACCTAATGCTTATTGTAAGAAATCATAGTGCTCTTGATGGTAGAAAAGCTATAGAAGAGAAAAAATCCAGAAAAAAAGTATAACACAAATATTTTGGCAAACTTCTATAAATGAAGAAAGATTAAAGTTAAAAATATGAATAAATGATGTCATTGAAGGTCTTGTAGACATATATGTGAATGAACAATAATTGCACCAGAATCTTGACATCCAAATTGGACTCTTTAGGAGGTAAATGTTCAGCTTTTAGAGATTGGCACTTTAATGTAAAACAGAGCATGAGATGGGTAGAAAGTATAGGGTCAGAAGGATAGAGAGCAAAATTAAGGCCATCTGTGGTTAACACAGTCACAAATTTATGGGGGCATGATTTGTTACAGCAATGGAATACTCAGATTAACATTCCTCCAAACTCAGAAACAAACCATAAATTAACATATGTTTCTCAGAAAAATAATAGAAAGTATTATAAAGAACAGTCACTGACCATTCAGGTTGTATAAGAACAGGGCACAACAGTTGCTGACCTTTCAAAGGCACCAACAGCCCTACCTTTAAAATGATTGACAGACAAACCTATATGGGTTGAGTAGTCGACTTTAAAAACAGAGAAACTGTAGGCTTTAGAAGAGCTGGTACAGAAACAGCTAAATGCTCAGCATACTGAAGAATCAACCAGCCCTTGGAATTCTCCTGTATTTGTTATTAAAAAGAAATCTGGAAAATGGAGAATGGTAACAGATCTAGGAGATGTTAATAAGGTGAGTTAGCCAATGGGCTCTCTGCAGTGTGGAATTCCTTTGTCTTCTTTATTACCTAAAGTGTGAACTCTTATAGTTATTTTTTTAGGTTTTTTTTTTATTTTGGTTATAAACAATCTTGTTTCACATGTCAATCCCAGCTCCCTCTCCCTCCCCTCCTCTCCCGCCCTCCCCACCAGTTCCCCCAGTCCCCCACCCAATTTCCACTCCAATCACCAAGAAGGGCGAGACCCTCCTCTTATAGTTATTGATTTAAAAGATTGTTTCTTCAGTATACTTTTACAAGAAAAAGAGAAAAAAATTGCCTTCACACTGACTACTTATAATAATTCTCAGCCTGTTAAAAGATATCAATGGAAGGTTTGCCCACAGGGAATGTTAAATAGCCCCACTCTGTGACAGTATGCTGATATCCTGGCATTATGCTGACCCTGCCCCTGACAACTGGCTGGGTATGCACATGAGCATTCAGGCAGATACTTAGACAGCTCAAAGCACCCTGCTTTGCATG